TACAGCCCGCGCCCTTGGGGGCTGGGGGCCTGGGCCTGCCTGTGGTCTCCCTCCTTGCCGGCTCTGCGGGCAGCAAGGCCGAGGGGGAGAAAGGGCGAGGGCCTGTGCCTGCCAGGGCCCTGGGCATGGAGGGCCGCAAAACACCCCTTGAAAGGACGGAGAGCAGCCGCTCCCGGCCGAGCCCCGATGGACTCCCACTGCTGCCGGGCACCGTGCTGGACCTGTCCACGGGCGTCAACTCAGCGGCCAGCAGCCCAGAGGCGCTGGCCCCCGGCTGGGTGGTCATCCCCCCGGGCTCCGTGCTGCTCAAGCCGGCCGTGGTGAACTGAGCTGCGGATGGGCAGCAGGGCAGTCCAACAGCTGCCAGCCCTGCTCGACGAACGGAAGCTCTTCTGTGAAACAGCAATACTCCTGCCAGCCGTTCGACTGTGCTCCTGGCAGCAAGCATGGTGCTAGAAGGTCACTGCGGGCTCCCGGCCCCAAGTGAGGACCTGGACCTGCCGTCCAGGGAGAGCCGTGCTCTTTCTTGGGTGCTGAGGCCTCGCTCACCCTGGCCCTTCCCTGCCCATTCTCCCCACCACCTCCGCCCTGGTGCCTCCCTTGGGAGTGCGACCTCCCTCTCCCCTCGCCCACTGCCAGCCACGGGGACTGGCAGAGACTGCCCGCATTCCAGCACTGGGGACAGTGCAGTGGTGTCTCTCCTCCCCAGCCAGGCTTGCTTCCCTCCCCCTGCCTGTGATGAGCTATGAGGAGCCCCCAGGGGTCAGACTGTACCCTGTCATGCCTAGGCTCACCCAGCCTGGCTCTGGGGGCTCTCTTGACCCCTTTCCCTCCTGCCTACCCTCTGGAGGGAGAGTACGATAGACCCAGGCCCTAGCAAAACCACAGGCAGAAGTCACTGCCCTCCTTACCCACCCCCCATGACAAGGTGCCTCCTGCTTGGAGCAGAGGCCTGCTGTGCCAGCCACCCCTCACGTTGCCTCTCCCAGCCAGACAGTGCTGTCCAAGGCCCTCAGGGTGTGGGTAGGTGACCACTCTGCACCTGTCCCTGGGGCCGCCTCCCTCCGCCTTCCAGGGGCTCCTGGGAATGTGGGAAGCAAGTCAGAGGGAGCCCTGAGCAGGGCCAGGGCTCCTGGTGATCAGGTCTCTGGCTTGGCCCTACTCACTTAGGGAAGGGGCGGGTGAGGGCAGTCCAACTCCACCTTTGTCATCTCCACCCTAGCAGGGACTGGCCTGGGCACTGCTGCCAAGCACAGCCTGCAGGCCGTGGTCCTGAGGTGGGATGTGGAAGGCTGGCTGGGATGCAGCTTCTGGGAAGGGAGGGCTCTAGGTCAGTGCCAGACCCAGGAGGTTCCTGGAGGCCACAAACCTCAGGGTTCATCTTAGAGTCAGCTGAGCAGCCAGGGATGGCCATGGAATGGCCTGGGAAGGGACCTGGGGTGGCTGAGGAAGGACTTGTGACCTGGCTGTCAGTGGCTTTTCCCAGCTGAGCCCCTATCCTAGAAAGTATTCTGCACTACTACCCACCCCAGCTTGCTCCCTGGGGCCCGTGCTGCTCAGAAGGGCCCAGTCGGGGGCTGAAATGAGCTAGGGATGTCATAGGCCCTGGTGCCCACTGCCCAACCCCAGGACCTGCTGTGCTGGCCCCTTTCCCACCTGGCAGCCAGTAGCTCTGGCTCCCAGGCCTTCCCTGTCCCCAGGCCACAGTGGCCAAGCCCTGCCATCTCCCTATTCGTGACAGTGGAGCTGCCTGGATGGCAGTGGGGACCTCAGGACCCTACCTCCCGTGAGCAGCTCTGCAGATCCCACCCTTTCTGGACTGCCCTTCTGTCCCAGAGGGGTCACCCCGATCTGGCCCATTCCCCAGATGGGCTTACGACCCCAGCCCTGCAGGGTCTGGCCACGGGCTCTGCCCCTCAGAGGCTGTGAGCAAGGTAGGAGGGAGCTGGTCTCCCTTCTCTGGGCCCCATCCAGGACCCAAGCACCCCACCCACCAGGGCCGCAGGCTCAATCCCCTGCTGGGGGTCATGGGTTTGCGACTTGAGCCCAGGAGCAGAGGAACAGGGCACTGCAAGGTTGGCACTAGCTCGGCATGTGACTTGGTGATGGACCAGGCCGGAAGGGCCAGTGTATCTCGTCAGTTTGTTGTTGCACATTCCAGGATGTCAGTATTTTAACAGGTTCTAAGTGCCTTTATTGTAGCTTATGTTTTTCCTCCTTTTGGCTCCATTGCTGTTAGCATAGAGTTTAAAAAAAGAGATAAGCTAATGACTATAACAATATATTCCTCCATGTGAGAGGAAGTTTATAAGAAACAATAAACGTGAGTTGCAAAGATGGTTTCCGTGTTCTGGACCAGCTGGGAACTGGGCCTCCTGACACTAACTGCTGCCCTGTGCCTGGTCCTGGGGCTTCCCTGGCCTGCAGTCACCACCTCTACCTGCTGTGGGGCAGGGGCCAGGTCCAGCTGGAAGCCAGAGCAGGTGCTGGAAGCTGAAGCACAGCAAGGAACAGGTCTTTCATCAGCCTGGATTACCAAGATGCTAAACTTATTTATCTTTGAGATTTTGCTACAGGGCATATGTGCACAGTGGAGACAGAAAGTGAGAAGCCGCCCCTGGGGGTTGTAGTCACGCTGCAATCCCTTCTCCATTTTCCTGGGTTTTGGGGCATGTATGCACACGTGCCCAGTGTGCACTTCAAGCCACAGTTCTAGGACTCAAGCTGCAGGTGACCATGTGGGAGTCCAGCAACGGAACCACCACGCCACCTTCTGGCCCCTATTTTTTTCTTTTTTTTTAGAGGTTTTTGCTATAGGGCGCGTGTGCTCGCCAGAGACAGACAGAGAGAAAGCGAGAAATCACCCCCCAGGGGGGATGGCCATGCCGCAGTCCCTTCTCTTCCATTCTCCTCTCGGGATCTTGGGCACGCACGCACACGCACCCAGCATGAGTTTAAGCCACCAGGTCTGGGACGCCAACCGCAGTTGACTACACGGGAGTCCAGCGACACAGCCATTACGCTAACTGCTGGTCCCTGGCCCCTATTTTTCTTTTTTTTTTTTTTTTGAGAGGATTTTGCTATATGGTGTGTGTGCTTGCCAGACAGAGAGTCAAAAATGAAAAATTACCCCCCAGTGGGAATGGCCACACCGTAATCCCTTCTCCTCTGTTCTCTTGGGATCTTGGGCATGCACACATGCCCGGCATGAGTTTTAAGCCACCGAGTCTGGGACGTGAACCGCGGTCAATTACATGGGAGTCCAGTGACATAGCCATTATGCTAACTGCTGGTCCCTTGGCCCCTATTTTTCTTAGGGAGATTTTTGCTAGAGGGTGTGTGCACACCAGAGATGTGAAAAATCACTCCTTCCCCCAGGGGATGGCCATCTCCCTTCTCTCAGGATTTTGGGCACACGTGCACACACACCAGGATTGTTTCAAGCCACTGGGTCTAGAACTCGAACCATGGTCAATCATGTGGGAGTCCAGCACCTTAACTACTACACCACCTCCTGGCCCAAGATGCTAGATTTAAACCCAACCCATGGAGGCAGGTCTGAGGGTGGACAAGGGAGCTGGGGCCTGAAAGGAAGCCCAGCACTGGCCCAGGCGATGGAGGCAGGAGTGCCCACCCTGGCCCCCCTGGGCTGTCAGAGGCTACCAACCAGGCTGTCAGGAAGAGTGACCTGCCTGCTGGAATCCGGATACACGCAGACGAGAAAGGCAGAAGAGACATTTATTATCAAGCTATAAATTAGAGGCAGTGGGGGGAAGGGAGGCGTCAAGCTGTCACGTTTTGGGTGCCTGCCCTTTTTCTCTGTCTTCCTGGGCCTGGATTCTGAGTTCCTCATCCAGGCGCTCCTTTGCACGGACCACCTGGTGGGGGCAGTCACAGATAATCAGGCTGAGCCTCTTTCTGTCCCAGGTCCAGGCTGCTGCTACCCGAGAGCAGTAGGTAGCTACAAACACCTTTTAGTGGCAGCCTGGGATGGGCAGGGTGGCCTGGGGGTGGCTCTGTACAGCACCAGCTGGTGCTGCTGTTCCTGCAGAGTCCTGATGGCTGGAGGACCACTGTCCAGGGGCCACTGCCCAGTCAGCTGGGCCCCATAGGGCTGAGGCGGCCAGAGGCAACAGACCAGAGGGTTCTCCCTGGTACCAGCCAAAGGCCTGGAACACCTCTCCACCCGCCAGGCCGTTCCCTGCCAGCTCACCCTGCCTGGAAACCAGGGACCCCGAGTGAGGAGCTGACCCTCCTCTAAGACCGAGATCACTCACCTTGGACTGCAGGTAGAAGGAGCCCCCCACGGACTTGTCATTCACCTTAAACAAGTGTTCATAGTTCTGCAGAGAGGGGACAGGTGAGAGGACGTGCAGTCTGGGTTGAACACAAGGGAAGCTCAGGGATAGCCAAGAGACAGCTCACCCTTCCCACCCTGTGTGCCATGTGATACAACACCAGAGGTGGCTGGCAGCCAAGGGGCAGAGACTAGACAGCTGCCTCCAGGGACGGGCTGACTGCTGCTACCAACTGCTCTCCATCTCTGCAGCTGCCCTTTCTGCCAGGCCCCCCTCACTCTGCCTGCCTGGCAGCCTGCCTCCCCACCCAACCTGTGGTCAGCCAAAGTTAGGTTTGTCTGGGGGCTGGCCCGGCGGTCTCACCTTCTGGATCTCCTCAGGGCTCAGCTTGGAGACGTTGAGAATCTGTTGGGCCTCCTGGAGGCTGAGGCCAGAGAGGCTGGAAGCAGCCGCAGACTGATGTCCGGCGCGTCCCCGGGCGTTGGCTGCTGCCCGGCTGGCTGTGTGAATACATGGTCACTGCTCTGCAGCACCCCGGCCCTGGGTCTTCCACGTAGATTGCCCACCCCACCAGGTGGCACAGGAGAAATGATGGCTGGGGGGGGCAGGGGTTAGGGAAATGAGGACAGGTGTGCCTCAACAGAGGGTAAGGGTGGGGTCTGGCCATCAAACTTGGCTCCTGGTCCCCAACTGAGACCACAAGATGACCCTGTCTCTCATCTCCCCTCTCGCATCCCAGGGATGCAGCAAATCAGGACCAGGCCACGATGCTCCAGTGGGATAGCACTTGCTTGCAACCCACCTGGAACCTCTTCCCTTCCTGACCCCAGGATCAGGTTTCTTACAAGGTCAGACGGGAAATGTACCAGGCTCTTAAGGCCACTCAGCCCCTGATAGAACCACTCCACTCTGCCTCCAAAGCAGCTGGTGGCATGAGTGACTTTTTTTTTTTTTTTTTAAGAATTATTTTATTTATTTACTTTAATTTAACCAGAATGGGACAGAATGAGAGACAGAAAAGTGAGAAAGCAAGCTGCCAGATCTGGAACTTGAACCGTGGTCGGCCATGTGGGAGTCTAGCACCCTTAACGACCACGCCACCTGCCACCCCCCACCTCCTTTTTAAAAGAATTATTTTATAAGCATAAGACTTGACTAACAAGTCAGGGGCCAGTTTGGCTCCCGCCCCGGAAGCTCCACCAGCCAGGTCTCACTCAAGACAAACTCTGGTTCCCAGGAGGACATCCCAAAAGCTGGCACCACCCATCCCAGCAAGGTGCCTAGGCCACCCAAGGTGCAGAACCTTAGGAGCCAACGGATCCCTTCAGACACAAGGAGCGCACAGCTTCCAGCCCCGGGGCAGCAGGCCACGCTTACCTGCAAACTCCTGCCGCAAGGCCCGGGCGAAGGCCCTGCCCACCACCTGCACCCCCATCACAATGATCTGGGCCAGGTACTTGGCCTGTGGGCAGAACAAACAACTGGTTAGCAGGGAGGAGACCCTGGAAACAGTGGCTGGATGCAGGGCCGTGAGAGCCCAGAGGAGACGCAGTCACAGCCACGGCCAGCACAGGGAGGCACTGCCAGTGAGCTCCCACTCATCGCACAGGCAGGCCAGACACCTGACAGTCCCCAGCAGCAGACTGGCAGCTCTCAGCCCTAGGGACAAGTGGACGGGGGCCAAAGCAAAGTGGCTGCAAGGTATGGAGGCCACTGGCTTCAGAAAAAAACAGGATAGCCTGGGAGCCAGAAACCAGAAATGGCCCCAGACCTGCCGCTACCTCACTGGGCCCCTAGGCTGATGATGGTCACTGCTCCCGCGCTGAGGTTGTCTGGTCTGACCTTTGTTTTGCCAGGGGAGAAACTCAGATACGTACTAATTCTCGGAAGACTTCAAGTCAAACGACTTTTAGTCCATTCCATTCAATACAACAGAAAGCTACTAAGGGGAGCCGAACGGGGACACCTTGCTCACAACAGGATGCTCTGCAAGGCTAACCCACCCGGGAAGGTTCTGGGTTTGTGTCAGGACCTTCCTGACTGCACCAGACACACATGCGCCCATTACCCGGGGCTGGATCATGGTGTTAAGACCCTGTTGTGGGGGCCAGCAGGTGGTGTGGTGGTTGGAGTGCTGGACAGTCTCACATGGCTGACTGTGGTTCGAGTCCTGGGCGTGGTAGCTTGCCTTTTCGTTTTCTCTCTCTGTGTGTGTGAATAGAGTAAAATAAATAATTCTTTAAAAAAGTTAAAAAACATCCCATTGGTAGGGCCAGCAGGTGGTGTGGTTTTTTGTTCTCTCTCTCTCTCTCTCTCTTCCTCTCTCTGTGTGACTCTCCCTGATCAAATTTAAAAGTGAATAAAATAAAATAAATAATTTTTTACAGAGGTTTTTGCTATAGGGCACATGTGCTTGCCAGAAAGAGACAGAAAGTGAAAAATCACCCCCCAGGGGGGATGGCCATGCTGCAATCCCTTCTCCTCCATTCTCCTCTCGGGATCTTGGGCACACATGTGTGCCCAGTGTGAATTTAAGCCACCGGGTCCGGGACTCAAACCGCGGTCAACTACATGGGAGTTCAACAACATAGCCATTATGCCAACTGCTGATCCCCAAATAAATAATTCTTAGAAAAAAAAAAAGACCCCATTGGTAAGGCCAGCAAGTGGTGTGTGGTGGTGAAAGCACTAGACACAATGACAGCAGTTTGAATCCTGGACCTGATGGCTTGAAAATCACATCAGGTGCATGCGCATGTGTGCCCAAAACTGAGAGGAGGACAGAGAAGGGATTGTGGTGTGGTGACTGCCCGCGTGCGGGGAGGGAGAGTGATTTCTCACTTTCTCTCACTGTCTCTCTAGTGAGCACATGTGTCCTATGACAAAAACCTAAAAAGACTTCATTGGGGATGCTGTCTCCCTCTCTCCCACTCACAGAAGAAATAAAATATAAAATCCACTAAGGGTCTACTCAAAGCAAAACAGTTTCTACATTCAAAGCTGAAGGCCCCCCAGGAGGACCACACGGCCAGGAAGGGAAGGCCGGCTCACGGGTTCAGAGCTCGCTCACCTGTCTGAGGCCACCGTCTGTGCAGCGACCGGGCAGAGGCACACAGAACCTGCTCCCTGTCCCAAGCCATCTGCGCACCGACAGGGCCCAGCAGGAAAGCACTGCAGCACAGCCAGGCTGCCTCATCTCAGGGTGACTCAGTGCCCAGAGACACACAGGGGTGTCGTGAAGACGTGATGGTCAGAGTGTGACACGGCGACGAAGGGAGGACGCAGGACAGACTCACAGATGACTCCCAGGTCTCCTTGGCTGGGCTTTGAGGGGCGAGGACCATGATGGAGGGGGAGGCCCGAGCAGGAGGCCCAACTGCGAGAAGGAAAGCACGTGGGAGCCCTGGGGCAGCCAATAGCCTGGCCGAGCTGCAACTGCCATGGGAGGAGGCGCAGAGCTATGACGCGGATTCTTGCAGGTGGCGGGGGAACAGCTGGCCCCGTGATGGGACGCTGAGGAGCGCTCACCAAGGTGGACAGCACTCACACGGCACGGCCAAGCCATTTCCCCTCCCCTCTCTGCACTTTTGTGTGGATTTCCTCTTGGTCAGCCAGGTCGCCTGAGCCCATGTGCCAGGCACTGGGCCAAACGTGGCCTACTTTATTGTGCCATTATTCCCAACAACATGAGAGTTTTGATGACCCATCCGGGACAGGGAGCTAGGGCTCAGAAAGGAGGGCGGGGAGCCCATGCTGCACCGTCAGCCCGACCTTCCCTGGCTGCCCACTCCAGGCCTGGGGCCTACAAGAAAGGCCCGGGGCCAGACATCAAGGACCCAACTCAGAAGTCAAGGAGGGGCCATCAGATTCCAGTGAAATCCAGACTCCAGGACCTGCTCTTCCCTAACTTAAGGCAGCATGCAATGCATCGCAGGCCAGGAGGGAACAAATAAACAAGTGGGGTTAAGTTCCACAAGGAGGTGGGATGTTCATAAGCCCTGGATTTCCCACTAGAAAGGGAAGCCCAGAGAAGACCCTCCTTGGTCAAAGGGAGGGGCGAGGCTGCAGTCGCAGCACAAATGAACCTGCTAACTGGGGGTCCCACCTGACTTCTCCCTCCTTGTCCAGAGCCACTCCCAAGCAGGACAGAAGGCCCGAGATGAAATGCTGGGCCTGTGTGAACCACGTAGAGAGGTGGATAGGCCAGAAGGTGACTCCAGGTCTCCCTGATCAGGAACATGCCTACATCACAGACCGCGCGTCCCAATGACAGGCTCTGTCCCTCTGTTGCCACCCGTCACATGGTCTTGGAATCACTGGTCTAATTTTCTGCCAAGGCTGAGGACTATTGCTAAGTAACAAACATTGGGGGGCCAGCAGGTGGTGTGGTGGTTAAAGGTGCTGGACTTCCACATGGCCGACCATGGTTCAAGTCCTGGATCTGGCAGCTTGCCTTCTCACTTTCCCTCTCTCTCTCATTTTGTGTCTCTCTAGTCAAATTAAAATAAATAAGTAAAGTTAAAAATAATAAAGTTAAATAAAATAATTATTTTTTAAAGATAAGAATTATTTATTTATTTATCCATTCATTTATTTTAATTTGACCAGAGAGAGCCACAAAGAGAGAGAAAAAAAGAAAGCAAACTACCAGGTCCAGGACTTGCACCATGGTTGGCCATGTGGGAGTGTCCAGCACCATAACCAATACACCACTTGCTGGTCCCAAATAAAATAATTCTTTAAAAAATAATAATAATCAAGACTGGGGGCCAGCGGGTGGCACAGTGACCTCCCACATGGCAGGCGCATGTGCGTGTGTGCCCCAAAGCCCAGGAGAATGGAGAAGAAGGGACTGTGGTATGGACATCCCCCCTTGGCAGGGGTGGGGGGGAGTTTTCACTTTCCTTTCCACTGTTTCTGGTGAGTGCACACACCCTATGGCAAAAAAAAAAAAAAAATTAGGTTGGGGGAACAGCAGATGGTATGGTGGTTAAGGCAGGAGGGTGGGCCCAAGCCTCAGTAGCTACCCCAGCTGGCCAAGGGACCTGCCTATGTAGTTAATGAAGGCACCCAGGTTCCCACGGCTCTCCCAGGGGAGGCAGCGGTGACAGGGCCAGACTCTGGGGCCACCTATGTGCAGACCTCAGCTGTGTGACCCTGGACACGTCTCAGTCCTCTGCATTGTTTCCTCATCTGTGACGCTGGCCCAGAACACGGCTGTCACAGTGATAAATGAGCTACCGCCTGAGAAGCACCCGGCGCAGAGCCCGACGACACGGAAGTGCTCAGTCAACGCTGGCTTCCACGAGCCTCGATGATGGGCAGGAACCTCCGCAGCACTGCCCAGGGAGCTGGACGCAGCGGAGGACACTGACCTTGCCTGGAATCCTAGCTTGGTTTCTCCACAGTTGCGTAGCCCTGGACAAATTACTCAACCTCCCCACACCTCAGTTTTCTCATCTTCAAAATGGAGAGACCACCACCCTCCTCACAAGAGGCCGGAAGGCACTTAAAACCAAGCGACAGACACAGCAGGGCTAGAGCGGGAGCTGGGACCACACCCTGCATGGTGCTGAATAGTCTGCAAGCAGGCAGTCCAGGCGAGCCTGGCACCCACCCAGTCAGCACCCAAACGTCCCAAGTGCCCGCTCTGTCATGCTATGGGCAGAGTCGAGGACTCACGGGGAGCAGAGCTCCACCGGTGACAGCCACAAAGGGTGATCAACGCAGCCCTGATTGAGGACCCTCCCAGAGGGCCCCCAACATCCTACAGTCCACTGGCTGACACTCATCCCGGGAAGAGCACCCGGCCGACTCCGTGTCCAGTGGTGGTCAGAGAGCAGAAGTCAGAGTTCAGAGGCACCCTGGGGGGCGGGAAGCAGGCATGTGGCTTATCTCCGGCTGGGTGCCTCAG